GATGTCCGATTAGTCTTTCTCATTTTCAATTTTAACTAAAAGAAAGTCTAAAACATGTTTCATGAATGAATCCATGTCACTTAATATTATAAACAATTTATGATGCACATATTAAACATGACCATATATTAAATTTTGTTTTCACCGTTGACAAAACAATTTCTTTTCATCCCCATTTATTAAAGTGTACCTAACTAGGCCCCATGGTCCCCAAAATAGTTGTCCCAATTACTAAATTTGTCACAAAATAGTCCAATTGATTATCTAGTAGTAGTAGTATTAATTATTTACGAATAAAAATTAATCATATAAACTACTCGGTCATATAGAAGATTACAAAAATGAAAAAACTAAGAATCAAATATCATAAGTTATTACTCCCTTTTATTTAACGTAGATTTGCAGAATATTTTTACTTTCTAGAAGGAGTAAGCATGTACGACTTTTCTTAAAATTTTATGAAATAAAATATTATCCCTCTGCAATTTTTCATATTACTTGTTGTTTCCTTTGCGTTGGTGCTCTCTAATTATTTTTCTGTCGTTATTATTTTTTTTATTCTATATTTTTAACATGGCCTCTCCACTATTATTTTTTTCTCAAACATATATATTTTTTTTTTAAGCCGGGTCTATCGAAAACAGACTCTATAGTTCATACACAGTAGGAGTAAAGTTTGCGTAAAAACTATCCTCCTCAGATCTCACTTATGAAATTGCACGATATATATGTTATTGTTACACATTTAGGAATACTAGTTTTAGCATACGCGCGTTGCGCGTGTCCCTCGTGTTAATGAAAAATAAATTTTTATAAATAAAATAAATAATATTCAAAAATATGTTTATGTTATTATATAAAATTAAGAGTAGTTCTTCCTTAGGAGTTTGATCTAGTCTAATAGTTTTTCCTTCAGTTGTTTCTCTTGCTTGCTTTATTGTACAAAAAAAGTTATAGGAGTAGCGTTTGATTGAAAGGTAAAAAATCATTCAACTTTACTTGAGGACTTGGGTACATACATTGCATGTATATTTCATGTTACTTATTAAAAAATTTATGTAAGATAGTTTACCAACAATTAATTTTTTTTATCTTTACTCATTTTACGGTACTGCTAAAGTTGTAACCTTATTCTATTGATAACTTAATACTCATATAGGCATCCGAACTCGATTATTATTAATAATTTTTATATTATTATTTTTTTTGCTCAATTATTATCTTATTTTACCTATAATTTCTTTCTAAAGTACTTTTACTCGCGACCAATTACATATATATTCTTTTTCTATTCCTATTTTTGTGTACAAAATATATATTGATCAACTTATTCTACCATTTAAAATAATGTCACATTTAAAAAAGATTATCATTTGATTATTTCTTAATATTTAGACAATAAAAATGGACAAAACTTGTAAGTATATTTCAAATTCTACGTCCTTATTGTTAAAAGAAAATAGAATGTCACATTTGCTTTTTAAAGTCTAAATTCATGTCACCTTAATATGAATTATCATTAATGTTTTCTTTTTTTTAAATCAAAACTATGACTTAAATGCACTATTTCTTACGTGCCTTTTTAAATATTAGGCATAAAATTGATGGATCAGTTATTTACTTTAATTTTATTTAAAATACACATTATTTACTTTTTTTCACAGAATATATATCCATGAAAGCAACATGTAAGAATTATAATTATGTGACATATATAATTCAAATAAGGAAAATATTTAAGTTAGGTAAAGCTTTAATTGACTTTAAAGTCCTAAATTTTAGGGTTTCCTACCTAGTTTAATGGAAAATAATTTAATAACAAAAATTTTAGTCAATTTCAAAGAACAAAATATTAGGAGAATAATTAAATGACTATTTTGTCTAGTGTGAACTCCAATTTTAAAGGGTAAAAAAGGCGAACGATATTTCGCTAAGAGCTTTCGTACTTTTAATATAGTATAGATAGATTTTTGAATAGTCGATCTTCTTTGTTTAATTTTCCCATTACTCGTTTAGGACCAAATTTCCCACAAAACCGTGGGTACACTAAAGTATTGCTAAGCTAGAATAATATTCCTTTACTTATTATATACTCCGTATAAAGGAAATTCTTTTATTAAAGGATAATTTTCAACAATGTCTTTTACATTTCCTTTTGAATCTTTCAATTTCATCGACTATTTTTTTTATAAATAGTAAAAAAAAAAAAAGAGAAGAAGATGCAAAGACAATTCTATGATTAAAAAGGTCACAATTCAAATATCATTTTGATGATCTCCTAACTATTGCCTTTTAATGTATTTTCATATTTTCGGTTAAATGTGGAGGAAAAAAAAAGGAAGTTTTATAGAATCACAACCTAACTAGTCGTTTTCTCAAGTTTTCAATACCTAAAAGATTAAAACGCTCTCTATTGAATAGTTTGGGTAAATTACTTATATAATTCATTTTCAAAAGATTTATAGAATATAACACAAAAAATAAAAAATCGTTGTAGGTTCCTTTTCTTTACTCAAATCATAGGTTTGGTACAGTCTACTCGTGAAGCAAACTATGGAAGAAAATTTGGTGAATACTCTTAATTTGATGCTTTAGTTTTTTACGGTTAAAGTCTTCTCGAAGAGTTCACGTTTCTTTCTTTATCGTCTTTTAAGAAATTAGCGATCTATTACCCTACCCCTTCGTCTCTTATTACTAATGCACTCGTGTTTAATTTGAATACTATAGGTCTGCATGGCGAAAAAATTTATTCGAAATTTATAATAATTTAGGTCACATTATTCCTTTAATTATATTTTTTTACTATTTCAGAGTTTTTTATAAAAGTTTGTTGAATAAAAGTGAAAGGACTATTACCATTAATTTTTTTTCCTTTCAAAAAAGACTTACAATTTTAACCACACTCTTTTTAAAGGTAACGTCGCCTCGACTTTTCCATTTCTTAACAAAAAAAAAAGACCAAAAATAAATAAAATACCACACGTTTTATAATAATTAGGTTTTATTTCTTTTTCCCTTTATTTTAACCTTTTCTTGCCCACAAAGCGAAGATTGGCATCATCATCACATCATTATATAAATAGAGGAGTCGGCTGGTGAAACTGCCATTTTGCAGAGGCCAAAAAATTATCACCTAGAGAGAGAAAAAAACACATTCAAATCAGAAAATCACTTTTTTCTAGGGTTTGTTAAAATTAGCTGCTCTGGATTTCTTCTTTCTCTCTTCCGTGGCTTCCTTAGGTTATGCCGTTTCACCTACAGGTAATTTTATTGCTATTTCTCCTCCTTATTTTTTTTGTTGCTTTGTATTTTTTTTGTTTTTGAGGGTAATTTATGAATTTGTGGTTGTATATTTTGTTATTATATGAATTTGAGGTCAGATCTGAACGTATTTGATGTTTTTGTTTGGAATTAACTAGTTCTGAATCTACGCGTTATGAATTGTTTGATTTTCATCTTGCAGTTATTGTGTTGGTGTTTGAATTGTGCTTTGTTAATGAATTTGAGGCGTTGTAATACAATTTCTCGAGCTAGCACCTGTTTTAATGTATTATCTGATTTTTCGGCTATAAATTATAATGTTTATTCTGCTTTCCTTCTAATCTCAATTTGGGCTGATGTATGCATGATTGAGTTTTTATTTGCTTGTGGAGCTAGTTTTGTGTGAGTCTCTTTTATTGTGGTGTATGAGGGATTGCTTTATCCAATTTGATTGGGTGATTCCGGTTACATGGATTGTGCGTTAGCACCCCTTGCTATACAGCTATAGTTACATGAAGTTCCGTTTGCCTCGAGTTTTTTTACATGTAATGGTATTTAGTGGATTTCTTAATAAATATACAGAGTCTAGTTGGTAATTGAAACAGTCTCTCTACCCTAGGGTAGGGGTAAGGTCTGCGTACACACTACCCTCCCCAGACCCCACTAAGTGGGATTATACTGGGTTGTTGTTGTTGTTGTTGTAGTCTAGTTGGTAATTGTGAGTTTAGGAACCTCTAGTTTAAAGTGACAACAACAACAACAACCACCCAGTGTAATCCCACAAGTGGGGTCTGAGGAGGGTAATATGTACGCAGACCTTACCTCTAGTTTAAAGTGAAATGATTGAATATTGGAATGCTATGTGCTTTAATAGAGCGAATAGATATGGAGGATTTGTGCAACTAGTTTGGGTTTGAGGTTAGTTGACTGATTGATTTGGTGGGTTGGGTGTATTCTTTTACCAGCTCAATGCTTGGAATCTGGTGATCTTGTGGATTTTGGTGGTGACTTAGTCTTTTGGGTGTTGTTAAGTTTTGGCCTTTTGAGGGTTAATTTATTGAGTTGCTAAAAGCTTTTGAGGTTTAGAAAGTATCATTACCTTAATGATAGATCTAGGTAAGTCTTCAAAGCTGGGGTTTCAGCTATTTAATTGTGTAGTTGTAATTGTTTGTTAGGCATTAATGGTTGTAAGTTGCACCTTATGTGTGCATAGCTGTTACAGTGGTTTTTCTATCTGTTAATTGCTTATTAAATAGTCATTGCGGCGAGATGCACCATAATATAGAATTTTTCATGTATAAACTTGTCACGCCATTTAATGATTTAATTATGTGTGCATGTTGTGAATATTCATAGGTAATATTCAGCTTTGAGCTGCAAAAATTATGCGACTGTCATCAGATTCACAATTTTCTATCCATTTTTTTGTATTTGTTCTTTCCTTGTGTATGCTTTACGACATTTATGAGTGCCTCAAAAATGATCATGTGGCTGTAATTAACAAAATATATGATCGCGTTCTAATTATCCATTATTGTCCTGCTGATAACTTGAACAGTGGTGGAGACAACCGGTCTCTGCTACTCTTGTTTCATGTGTATTTACGTAAGGAAATTGTAAGAGGTTCCTTTTGAGTGCTCACCAGTTAATTATTTGCTTTATATTTAATTAGTCAAATAATGCTATTCCGACATCTTTCTCAAGTGCTTTCGTTTTCTTTGGTAATGCTTTTCCAGGATTTGGTAGATTTCAATTCCAGGGTATTAATATTACTTAGGACATGGAGCAATTGTACCTTTGCTCAGTTCGCTTCGAGTGCCAAGCTTTTTCATTCCAGGAAGTCCTTGATTGGCGGTTCCTCATCCGTGGAACTTTCCTTCTTGTTTCTTTTGTCAATTGCACTTAGTGAACAGCTTCTATTGAATGATCAGTACAGGAGGCCAAATGCGAATTTTGTATAAGCTAGGTGTTGGATGTTTTGCTCAATTTCATAAGTAAGCTGCACCCACCTTGTTATGATGTCAGTTGTTACTGTACTGTTAACTACCTCGGCAAGTCTATTGTTCCTAGTGCATCACCAATACAAAACCCATTCTGGATCGTTTGGAACCTTCCTCTGAGGTATTGATATGGGTTGTGTGTCTGCTTATCCAGTTGTTTATGTTTGTAATAGCATCACACTAATCTTTTATGTCTCTTTCCTTGTGTGCAGGACTAAAGTCAGCTGATGTTTCTACGCATCGTTGAGAGTTAGATTGCATTTACCCACTTTTGTCTTAGTTTCTAGGAACCTTCATCAGGATTCAGTTAACTGGAGTATCAATATCAGATTAGAGCGTATTTGAAGCAAGGAGCTAGTGTACTTTTCAGAAACACTGTCAACTGGATCTTGAGCTGATAATTCATCCTTCTGAATTGGGTTTGTTTCGGGTCTTAGTTGTGAAGTGAGATCAACATGCTCTTCAGCATCTATGTTTCCTTGCTTTCTCTGCCTTGTTATTATAGTGGATTTGTTAGTGCGGTATATTTGATGAATAAGGCTGTCAAGCCCATCCATCTTATCAGTACTGGTTTTGTTCTTGTCCGTACTGCAGCAGAAAACTGACGGTTGATTTTGCTGAATCAGCCAGGCTACTAGTTCCTATTTAATAATTCTCTTTCCAGTCAACTAGTGAAGAGTAACAACTCCACGTTGTTTTTATTGTCTTTATATCTCCAATAACCGGGTGTCCTTTGTGCTACTGAACCTCCAAAAAATGGAAAGGTGCGATGGTGAATTTTTTCCTGACAATTAGCACTCTTTATTTTCAGTTTTTGCTCAACATGTTCTGGTGATGGCACAGGTACAAGATAATTAAGGAAGTTGGTAATGGTACATTTGGGAGTGTGTGGCGAGCTTTGAATAAACAGACTGGTGAAGTGGTAGGTTTGAATTTCTTAACAACAAGAAATAAATTACTGATATTGCTACTGTTGAAAGTTCTTCTAAAACTACTCATTTATGTACCATAGGTTGCAATTAAAAAAATGAAGAAGAAGTATTATTCATGGGAAGAATGCATAAACTTGAGAGAAGTCAAGGTAAAATGAGATTCTGCCTTAATAGTTACCCTTGCCTTTTCCTCTTTCGAATGCAATTAATTGCTTATTCTTTTGCAGTCATTGAGGAAAATGATCCATCCAAATATCGTTAAGCTCAAAGAAGTGATTAGGGAGAATGACATTTTGTACTTTGTGTTCGAATACATGGTATGTGATGGTTCTTGACCATCAATATTTCTTTATGAATCAGTTATATTTACTTATCTAACTCCATGTGGACTTTTCTCAGGAGTGCAACTTATATCACCTTATGAAGGACAGGCCTAAGCTTTTCTTAGAATCAGAAGTGAGAAACTGGTGCTTCCAAATAATTCAAGGTCTTGCATACATGCATCAACGAGGATATTTTCATCGCGACCTTAAGCCAGGTGATCATAGCTGATTCTCTTTTGAGTTAATTTAATCACAGCTTCTGTGAGGATCTTTTCATTTATTAAATTGAAGGGTTGGATTTCCTTGCTATTTGATGGTGAAGACTGAAGGTGAAAGCTAATATTTCCAAAGCTATGTTTTCCCCCTTTTGCATTTCCTCTGCAGAGTTGAAGTTCAAACTCTCTTTTTCTTATTTTGGATTTGACTTGCAGTCCATAACAGCATATTACGGCATTTCATCAGACTTTTTTTTCAATTTTCGGGGTTCTGATCTGACATGTTTTTCTACTGTTGTACAGAGAACTTGTTGGTTTCAAAAGATACAATAAAAATTGCTGATTTCGGTCTTGCTCGGGAGATCAATTCTCAGCCCCCATATACGGAATATGTCTCAACTCGCTGGTCAGTGCATCCCCGATCTGTTTTATCTTATTTGAGCAAGTTACTCACGTGATCTTTTCTTTTTTCCTTTTTCTGATAGCTGTCATGTCGAACTGCAGGTATCGTGCCCCTGAAGTTCTTCTACAGTCACCTATCTATGGTCCCGCTGTCGGTGAGTATGAAATTTTGTTGCTCTTCCTCCTTGTTTGGGAAATCTATTGCTTTTCTTCGGTTTTATTATTGATTCTCTCTCTTATATCCAGATATGTGGGCAATGGGTGCAATAATGGCTGAGCTATTAACTCTTCGTCCTCTATTCCCGGGTTCAAGGTGTGCATTCGCCTTTCTGATTTTTTCCCTTTTTGTTAATGCATTTTCTTCTTCTATACTTTTGAACTACAGTTCAATTTCAATTTACATGTGCACTGATTATTTATATAAGGGGTGATTGGTAGAGTTGAGATGGGTTGGGCTATGTGATATTCCGCTCATGTAGCAGTTTTCTACTGCTGTTTAATTTTTATAGACGTTTAATGATAGTTTCATAATGGATAGTTGGATTTTGGACATAGTAATTTTGCCATATATTTTCCTTTTGCTGAAAATTGTCTCATTTTTGGTGCAGTGAAGCAGATGAGATCTACAAAATATGCAGTGTTATAGGTAGTCCATCAAAGAGTGAATGGGCTCATGGGCACGAACTTGCAAATTCTATCAACTACCAGTTTCCGCAGGTCGAATGTGTTCTCCTTGTTTATTTTAAATAAAGGGGACTAGAAAAGTTCTGTTGTTTTTCATGAGCTGATATAAATAGACCTTGATCTCTAAAGGTTTTCCTTGACTCATCCTCTCCCCATCATCCGGTTTTGATTCTTTAATCCTTAGAGATTTTTGTTTTTTCACAAATATGTGAACAAGTGGGCTCTATGGTAGAAATTTAGAGTGCCTGTTTTATCGGTCATACCTTTTTGTTTTTGGTTAAATTTGTTTGACACCTCCTTTGTGGTTTAATGTGGCAGATCGCTGGTGTAAATCTTTCTTTGTTACTCCCATCTGCCAGTGAGGATGCAGTTAATCTAATCACTGTAAGATCTTGAGAAAGCAATTGCGTTCATCTTATGAATTTGTTTGATAGATCTTTGCAGCAGAAGGAGAAAAACCTTCTTTTTAAATTTACTTCCCTGTTCTTAATGTTTGAAATATGGAACTAAGGATAACTGAGCTGCTTACTTGGCATCTCACCTGTTCTTGTTTCCTGCAGTTGCTTTGTTCGTGGGACCCTTGCAAGAGGCCAACAGCAGTTGAAGTTCTTCAGCACCGTTTCTTTCAGGTGATAAACTTCTTCTATTTGTGAACTATCAATTTTCTATCTCCTATTTAGAGTTTATGGAACTGATATCGGTTTTGATATGACAGAGTTGCTTTTATATACCTCCATCACTACGTTCTAAGGCTGCTGTTGCTAGGACGCCTCCATCTGGTTTGTTTTTGTTATTTTTAATAAAGCTTTTTTGGGAAGTAATTGGGTTTTATATTTAAATAACTAATCAGATCTTTGGTGGTTGCAGCTGGAATGAAGGGTGCCATGGAGCAGAAAACCAATAGGTGGTCATCTGGTACAATAACCAACTCAAAACCTCGTAGCAACTTCTCTCCTGTCAAGTCGCAATTTAGCGCAGGTAGCGTATAAAGATCTGACATAAATCCTAATAGTTATCGGAGCTATTTTTCTTCCTGCAGAGCTTTAAAAAACTGCCGTCTTCTGTTCTGGATCCAAACATGAAAGCACCATGTTCCTTTCTAGTCTGTTGACTCTGTACAAATGGTTTATTTCCTTTGTTCTAATGCATATATGATATTTTCTAATGATCACCTCGTAACATGTGTAACAGGTGTCCAAAGGAAGTTGCAACTGAATTATCAGGTATTTTACTGTGGAAAACTTCGAATTGGTTTTTTTTTAACAGCCCAATAGGGGTAGATATCAGTGTCCTGCTTCATCTAATTTATACCAAAATTGTTTTTGTCCAGGATGCAACGAAGAACGATAAATCCCTAAAAGGCTCTATTAAGCAGCCAGCAAAGTATCGTCCTCCTGCAAGGAATGCTCCTGGTGAGTTCCAACATTAAGCTTCTACTGTACAACTAGTAGTTCCTGGATAAAGGTACTTTTGTGTTACTTGTATTGGTTCCTAACGACTGTTTTATTTGGCAGTTGTTGGTTCTGCAGTGAAGACTCGTGCAGTCTCTGATGCTGCTGAGAAGCTTGCCAACATGAGCATTGGCTCTGCTAGGGCGCCTATAAAGCATCCATTGCCTCAGCCTATGAAGGCCGGAGGGTTGCATCCATTGCCTCAACCTATGAAGGCAGGAGGGTTGCATGGGCCGCGTGACGTGTTCCTGGGACGATCTCAAGATATTATGCCTGGAAGAAGCTATTCGAGGAAAATCGCAGGATGAAGAGATGGTCAGTCGTACCCGGGGTGTGTTTTCTTGTGATGGTGTTTTCTAGTAATGGTGTTGTGTGCCTGACTACATCTGGATAAGTTTGGTGAGAAGCAGTTTATGTATGTTATGTCAGTTTGTTTCCTTCCGGTGATACAGTAGAATGTTGGGAACTGCGTGTTAAATAAACGTTGTGGTTGTGTTTGAAATAGATTTCTCTGACCAACATTTGCTATAAATAAATGGTGTGATGGTGTTTTAAATAGTATTCTTTGACTTGTATTTGCGATCGTCGTTGCAATATTACGTTGACATTTTGACAGCTGAGTGTCCTAAGTTTAGTGGTCTCCGACCAGATGCCTACTCTATCTGTCGTAGAAAATATTTGGACGGTGATTTGATTATTAGGAATACCGCGTTGAGTTTCGTCAGCAGATACCTTGTTTTCTTAGGGTATCCTTGCTGAGCTACAGTTGTGTTAAAGCAATACCTTAAAGACTAGGTTCTGCAGAGGTGAATATCTGGTCTAAGGTCGGTGGATTCAAAATGAATGTGACCACATATGTGCATATTCTAATCTTTTTCTGTGTATATATGCAAATATATAATTCAAATGAAAATAATGGATTTGGTATAATGCGCATACTTCAATGAAACTAAATAATAATTTCTCTCTTCTTCATGTCTTCCTTTCCTCTCTCTATAAATTCCCTTTTGAGATATTAGCGTTGACTTGTACATATGGGTACTTTTATCAAGGTTAGTTTGATAGATATCGTCAAATAGCTTCGTATCAAAATCTAGGCAACGGGTTAAATAAGTTTATCTGCTGAAAGTTGTAAAAGTTGAATAAGTAATATTCTTGGTGGAATGATATAGTATTCTAGAACGTCCTAAAATAAAAAAAGAATTTCAATTACCAACGGGGGAATTGGAAGATGAGATTTTTGTTTGTTCATGTTTTTACTTTTGAACTAAAATTAGAGAAACGGGAAACAAATACCCCAGTAAAAATGTATCTCAGAATTAATTTAGGTTTCTCCATGGTGACTGTACACCTTTGCTTCTCCATAGGTTTTCTAATTAAAAAAAAGAAAGTTATCTTGTGTCCAAAAATAGAACTAGTTTCGAAAAAATTGACACTCAATTTAATTATTGTGTTATTTGTTAACTGTGCTGGTGGAAAGTAACAAGTACCTGTTAAAACAGTCGAGGTATGCGTAAGTAGGTTCTAACACTACCATTACACAAAAAACTGGTGATTGTGTGATCTACATATAGCAATGATAAGAACAAATCAGAGCTTTTAGCATCATCAGTTTTTGATACCATTTCCTTTGGTAGATGAAGATTGTGTTACAAAGAAAACAACTAAGAGACATCTAAGTAAAAGCTAGGAGATCCACCAAGCCATTCAACCAAAATCTGAAGGAAAATACAGGCCAAAAAGAATTTGGAAAAATCAGGTATAATTAGAGATAAAAAAAATGCCATGACATAAAAAACTGAAAAAAATTTGTTCAGGAGCTTTCTTCTGTAGAATGGAGCCATTCCAACTGGAAAAAACTATATACTTCAATATGAATGAGCCTGGTGCAATCTCTTTTACTGCCAAGAATGGTGCTCAAATAACCCGACGAATATCGTGCATGGTGAGTTTAAGTTAGTCACTTTGAAGAAGCAAAAATGTTCCATTTCCAAGGGAATACCTTGATATTCTGTGGAAATTGCCAGCAACTATATGAAAAGAAAAAACATGCTTTAAAGGTATTGCTCCTGTATTCTATCTCTGTTCTGTTCCCACCACTGCTTCGCGTTCACCTCCCCAAATTTTTCGCGGCTGCATAGATGAATTAGAAGTTAGAAGAATACATTTTGAGTAAGAACTATTGACAAATTGATGTTCTAAACATCTAATATAAACTCCAGAAACTTGTTCTTTACTATGGTTCTTGAATTCAGAAGTCAGAAGTAGGTGCAAAAGAGAGTGAGTTTCAATAGATGACCAGCACATCTTATAAGCCAAAATTGTTTACTTATGGAAGACCAAATAAAATGAATGACATTTCTCTGCATTAGAAGAGCATATTACTTCTAGTCTTTTTGATCTTTACTTGATGCACATCTTTATTAGGTAGCCAAAGGACTAAAAAAAAGGCAGCTTGGTGCCCGAAGCATCCTGCGTTCACGTAGGGTTTGGGGAAAGGTTTCACCCCAATGGGTATGATGTAGGCAGCCTACCTTGATGCAAGTATCAGTGGCTGATTCCACGGCTCAAACCCGTGACCTATGGTAGACCGTAGACAAAGGACTAGTGTCAACTAAATTTCCAGATCAAGTTCTCAACTTTCATCTCTTGTACACTGAACAAATTTAGCACATCAGAACAACGGAACTAGAAAACAACAACAACAACAACTACTACTACTACTACGCTTCAAGCAAGCCAGTTGGGGTCGGCAGTATGAATCCTCATTGTCCATGCCGCTTCATATAAACCCGTCTTAAGTCCAAAATTGTAGAAAAGATAGTTATTGTGGCACTAGAAGCTCTCTACATTTCCACTACCATAAAGATTTATAGCAAACATTTGACCTAAAGTAAATGTACTAACAAGGGAAGTAGAGGAGCTAGGAATTTGAAATACCTGAATCTTACACGCCGTAGCTCTCTGGTGCCATCAGCTAGTTGTCTGATGGTTATGTATACACCAGGCTCATCTTCTGCTATCCATTCTGACTCCATATCACCAGCATTACTCATAGAAATTGAAGCGTCTCTGGAGTCGGTTGTCATCCTTGACGCTTCCATACCGGGGGCATAAGAACTGGTTCCACCGTAGTTGTATTGGCTACTGCTCGACGGTCTATAATTTGTTGGACCCCAATCCTTGCTTTCCCTGGGTGATCCAAGCCTTGTATAGTTTGAATCTCTCTGCAGATAAAAGAAAACACATGAAATTCAACATCCTAGTGAAAGCTAATGCATAGTACATCTGAGGCTTTTTTTAATAATTATAAAAAAATGGCACGTAAAGCTACAATAAGGGATCAAATGCTGTAAAATTTGAATAGCTGACAATGTACTTATGGTTTAACTAATCCACTTTAAACCTAAGGTACAAAAGGGTATAAAGCAAATGCTATAATCAACTAATGAAGCAATTCTCAAGTTGTTACCACATGAATTTCTGTCATTCGGATCTGGTTTTTAAGTACTTTAAACTGTTGAATTTCTCCTATAGTTCAATCCCAGCTGTACTAGAATTAAACATCAAGCAAATCAAGAAAAATAGAGCTAATTTTTCAAATAAAATGTTTAATGATGGATGTATAGCGAAGCAGCAACAAGCTGGAGATCAGTTCTACACATATAAATACGAATAAAAGGCGCGGCGTTCTTACTCCAAGCTCAGACCGCCCGGGAGTGTCAATAGATTGCTGATGAAATCTCTGGACATTGTAGAGCTCCATAATTCTGTCAAAATTCTCACCCCACCATCTTTGAGCTTGCCATTTATCGAACATGTCCCGACTTCAAGTTAACATGTGAAACTAATGTCAGTACACTTAGGAAATTCATTTTTTGTGCAGCTTAAAGAGCAAGTTGGAAAGCTGGATGCCACGTACACATTCAATCAACTAGGCCAGTAACTAAGATAATATACATACACATCAAAATGGAACTAAGAATTGTATAGTAGTAAAAATACAAGAAATTTGACAAGACAAGAACAGAACAAAAGAAAGTAAAACATCGTACATGATCTTTTGTCTTTCGTCTGCTTTGACATAATGTCGATATGTAACATAATATGTGGGTATCTCATGAAAATTTCTCAAACATAACTAAAATTAGCAAAAGTGGCGTGTGTCTTTATTGGACTCTTACACAACCATAACAGATATGTACCTGTTCTCGAGTCCATGTAACATGCACTCAACAAGTCTTTGGACTAACTAATGGAGTTAAATGCATTGGTAGAAGAATCTTTACATCGAAAATTAAGATAGAACAACAACGAAGAGAAGTATAAACATATATCAAATGATTAATGACGACTCAAATCCCTAAACCCTACTTTCTATTTAAAAAAAGAGGAAGAAGTGGTGTGCATCGATTCTACATTGAAGAAAGAATTGAATATTCATTGATGAATGGAAGGGACTGAAGATGGTCATGCCTATATTTTGAGGGTGTGAAAGATGAAAATTCTTAAGAAGGTTCAACTATACATGACAATCACCTTCATTTTCTTTGAATTGAAATCTTTAGACAAGAAGTTGAATATTTCCCACAATCAAGTTCCAAGATAAGAAGATTCTTGATATGTACCTAAATCGGATTTGTTTAAGATCATTTCCACTACTAGAACTAAACAAGACTCTGGGAAAACTTAGGAATGAAAGGGACTGAAGAAGATCATGCATAATTTTGAAGGGTGTAAAGGAAGAAAGGTCTGAAAAAGCTCGCTTAACAGACTAGTTCAATACTACTACTACAATAACAACTACACTTCAATCCTATGGTCGGCTATATGAATCCTCACTTACCATGTCGCTCCATTTAAGTTCATCTAATATTATATATAGACAAGAAGTTCAATGTTTCCCACAATAAAGTTTGGGATTTTACACAATATAGCCGCCCCCAGAATAACAACCGGCAAATGTATATTAGTGTATAATACACATATTTTATACATAATCATTGTATATTTGGCTAGCTATTGTAATTATTTTTGGCTGATTGGCAAAATGTGTTATGTTTCAAGATAAAAAGGTTCTTGATATATACCTAAAGCGGATTCGTTTGAGATCATTTCCACCACTAGGAAGAGAGAGAAATGTGATCTGAACACCAGGCTCCACCTGAGCAATCCACTCTTTTGGCCCCTCCTCGTCGGGCAGCACCACCTCACCTGACTGTGAGTAGACAGATTCTCTTTTATCATCATCACCACCACTATATCCTCCAGCAAATCTTGAATCAGCTCGAGGAGTACGATGATGTCGGGTACTTGTGAAATCCCAACCTGGAGGTGAACTTGAACTTCCTGGTTGATATGGAACGTCCTCTGAAATTGTTTCAAAATCAGGATAAGGTCTGTGACCTCTCCTGTAACTGCTAGTTGGTGTACTGGACTTGCTGCTTTTACCAGAGACCTTTAATGCAATATCCTTTATCTGCAAAGTTTTGTTGATACATTAGTTTTACACGAGACAAGTAGTAGTACAAAATAAGGAAGATTAATTCATTGTTAGAAGA